CTGACCCACCCACAGCTCAAGAGCTGAAACTTAAAGATTTTGCCTAGGGCAAGAGGCAGTTGGTAAGAGCAAAGAGCACCAAAACTTTCTCTCCAAGAACTAACTTGATTAGTAACAGAGTCTGGGGAAGTTCAAGCCTAAAGCTGTCTAGAAAACAATGGAGATTCTGATGGCAAGTAATTAAGAGGAGACTATTAATTGTATGAGGATTACAAGTTCAATCACTAGCTAGTTTATCAGAGAACCACGGAAAGTGACAGCCAAGAACCCTCCTAGGATGGGAACAAATCTCAAAGCTGACCTCAAAACCATTCCAAATTTAATTGAACCAGATGTAAAGAAACTTATATCCCAGGGCATTGTCAAAAACAATGAAGTCAACTAGGAATTAGTGGACCTAACAGCTAGGTGTGTTTGTGAGGCAAAGAGCTTACTGGAGAGATCAAGGAAAGAGACCACCAGAGAGAGTCCTGTTACATCACTGTCATCCCAGGATCACTGTACATATGCCCAGAGTTGCGGTTCTCTGAGGAGCCACATCATAGGCTTCACAGTGCATGGAGTAATAGATGTGATAAAAAAAAAAAATAGTCCAGTCAAGTCATTAAACAAATAAACAAAGCAAACAACAAAAACAAACAGGGGATGGAATGGATGGAAAGGGGAGAAAGTGAACATAGGATCAGAGAAATATGGGACACTATCAAGTGCGCTAACATTTACAGAATGGGAGTATTAGAGAAAGAGAAGGGAGAGACACAGAAAAAAAAATTAAAGCAGCAATGAACAAAAACATCCCAAATTTGATTAAATACTAATCTACATACCTAAGAAGCACAACAAACTCTAAGTAAGGTAAACACAAACAGATCTACACTCAGACAAATCATAATAAGAATAATAGGTAGGGGTACATGGTTGTGATCCTCGGGTCCAGAGATCAAGTCCCGCATTGGGTTCCCCACAGGGAGTCTGCTTCTCCCTCTGCCTATGTCTCTGCCTCTCTCTGTGTCTCTCAAGAAAGAAGAAAGAAAGAAGAAGAAAGAAAGAAAGAAAGAAATGGGGAGGAGAGGGCAGGTAACAGGAAGGGCAAAAAAAAGAATAATTTGACAGTAGCAACATAAAAATGACTTTTCATATAGAAGGGAACCCCATTAAATTTAATGGCTGACATCTCATGAGAAACAATGGAAACAGTGGAGGCCAAAAGGCAGAGAGATCATATTCAAAGTTCTAAAGGAAAAAAAACTGTCAATCAAGAATCTTATTTACAGCAAACTATATTTTACACAAAGGTACCAAAGACCACTGGTAAAAGTAATTATGTAACTATAAAAGACAGTGTAAGTGCATATTTCTTGTGTCTCTTATTTGAAAAGCAATTGTATAAAACCGTATTACATTTGACAGTAACATAGCTGAAGACAAAGTACGAAAATGACACATGGGGTCCCTGGGTGGCTCAGGGGTTGAGCGTCTGCCTTTAGCTCAGGTCATGATCCTGGGGTCCTGGGATCAAGTCCCATATCAGGCTTTCTGCGTGGAGCCTGCTTCTCCCTCTGCCTGTATCTCTGCCTCTCTCTCTCTCTGTGTCTCTCATGAATAAATAAAAATTAAAAAAAAAAGAAAATGACACAGATGGCAATATGAACGCAAAAGGCCAAATTAAAAGAACCAGACATGACAAATAAGAAAGCTAATATAAGAAATTGTATGAATAAGAAATTCTACTTTTCCTTCCTTTGCCTAACTGCTTTAATAGACAATTCTATAAAATGATGATCATAACAATGTGTTGTTTGGCTTGTAGCATATATGTATGTAATATATAAAACAATAGTAGCACAAAAGGAAAGGAGAGAGAATAGAGAAATATAGAGGTGATATTTCTGACCTCACTGTAATCAAGTTAGTATAAATCTAAAGCAGATTCTGATGAATTACATGTATATGGTAAGCTCTATGGGGTGCCTCAGTGGCTCAGTTGGTTAAGTATGAGACTCTTGACTTTGGCTCAGTTTGTGATCACAGGGTCGTGGGATTGAGCTCTGCTTCAGGCTCTGAGTTCAGCATGTAGTCTGCTTGGTATTCTTACCTCCCTCTTCTTCTGCCCCTCCCTCTGCTCACACTCTTTAACAAACAAACAAACAAACAAGCAAACCTTAAAAATAAGTATATGGTAAGCTCTAGAGCAAGCACTAAGAAAATAAAATCCAAAGAAAGTAAAAGAAAAAAATCATTAAAGCAATTGAAATACTACAATGGAAAATATTCACTTAATGCAAAAAAAAAAAAAAAAAAAAGAAAAAAGACCATTAAGGAGGGCTAGAACAACAACAAAGACATGAGACCTACAGGAAACAAAGAGTAAAATGGCATGGTGGGCACATATCTAACTATATCAGCAATAACACTAAACGTAAATGGGTTAAACAATCCAATCAAATATCAGAGCTTATTAGGCTGCATGAAAAAAACAAGATCCAACTTTAAATGTCTACAGGAGACACACTTTAAATTAAAAAATACAAATAGACTGAAAGTATGAGGATGGAAAATACAAATCATGCAAATAGCAACCATAAGAAAACTGCAATGGCTATACTAATATCTTACAAGGTACTTTTTAAAGGAAAAAAATGTTTTTATAGATAAAGAAGGACATTTTATAATAATAAAAGGATAAGTCCTTCAGAAAGATATAAAAATTACAAACATGTATGCACCTAACAACAGAGTCCAAAATGCCTAAAGAAAAAGTTGACAAATGAAAGGAGAAGGAGATAATTCAATAATAATAGTTGGAGCCATCAATATCCTATTTTCAATAATAGAAATAGGAAGATCAACAAAATATAATACTTGAACATCATACACCAACTAGACTTGACAGACATCTATAAAACACACCAACAGCAGTATATTACACATTCTTGCCAAGTGCACATAGAACACATTCCAGGATAAACCATATGCTAGCCCATAAGACAAGCCTCAACAGATTTAAAAGAATTGAAAACATGCAGAGTAAGTTCTCTGACCACAATGGAGAGAAATTACAGATCAATAACAGAAATTTGGGAATTCATAAATATATGAAAATTAACCAACACAAACCTAAATAATCATTAAATCAAGAAATCACAATACTTCGAGATAAAAGAAAGCAAAAACATAGCTAACAAAACTTATAAGATGCAACAGAAAGCAATGCTTAAAGAAAATTTTACAACTGTAACTGGCTTTATTAAAAAAAAATCTCCAACCAATAACTTAATTTTCTACCTTAAGATACTAGAAAAATCACAAACCAAACCCAAAGCAAGCAGGAAGGAAATTAAAGATTAAAGAACTTATTGAAATAGAGAATAGAAACACAGTAGAGACAACCAAGAAAATCAAATGCTGGTCAGTCTTTGAAAGGATTGAAATTATTGGCAAGCCTTTCACTCAACTGACCAACAACAAGGGGGAAAAAAGTCTCAAATCCTCTTTTTTTTTTTTTTTAAGATGAAATCATCTAAATTGACAAAACTTCTGAGGACAGTATTACTTTACACAGCATCAGGTACATTAATTACCATGAATTAGAGGCGCTTTTAGATGTGTAAGCTATGTGGAAAAGCACTTCAGTTTGTTGCTTTTTTTCCTGTTAGGTAAACAATCCCACCCTAAATTACATTTCAAGATTCGTGAAATGTGTCATTTATCCCTAGTTAACTCTTTCCCCCAACACAGACACACACACACACACACACACACACACACACACACACTTTGGCCTCGGGAGGCTCCCTCCTCAATTTCAGGACCCATGACATACCTTTCACTATTCTTTCCCATGACACCATCAAAACAGAATAGATTGGAGACCAGTTATTTGCACTTGTGTTGATTTACAAAGTATGCTTTCAAATTTATTCCTACATAAGCATCACTCTCACCAGCATTCATATTCTGAGCCTGAGGTACGTGTTTCCTAGATTAAAGCTTAGTAAATCACCACACACACAACCTCACCAATAGACGCCACAAGCTGGATCAAGTAGTTCATTTCAGTCTTTTGACTGAAAAAATACATGGTAAATAAAATTGATTGCTTCAATTAAAAGACATTGGAAGGGAGAATATGGGCAACTAGGTATCTCCCTAACGGTCACTTTGAGTTGTTGTTATGTTTATTCTGTGGTTTTCAGGGACAGCTGGTTGGAGACTCTAAGAAGCACCAGAAATCAAGTCCAAGAAGATCCCTTGGATGCTCAGTACCAACTGTATCAGAGCAGAGGTGGGGTGCATACTGCTTTCAAGGACTCAATACAGGCTCTCCCAAAAGAATGCCAAGGCATCTTTTGACTGGCTTCTCATCCACAAGAAAATTAAATCTTCAGAGGTCATCTTTGGAGGTCAGCTACACCTGCGGCTAAAGCTACAACCCATGTTTGCATGTGTGTGGCAAGCTTTAGTTTGGGAGATAGAAGTGTTTAAATATGCTTCAGTTTTTGCAACCATGCTTTGCCATTTCTTCGTTTTTGTATACAAGAAACTACGGAAAGGATGAATCCAGGGCTTCTCTCCACTTCTCAGGGGCTCTGCCCAATGCTGCCCTCGTGATCCAGGGCTAAGGGCAGACCCCAAACCTTTGCAAGCCCCCGCTTTTCCTCACTCTGCTGCCATGCCAGTCCTTTCTCTCCCTGATCAAGGCTCTACCAGGATCTTCCTTTGCTGCTATTTTCAGGGATACTTGGTGTCCTTTTTATTAGTGTTTAATGCTTTCATTATTACAGCCTCTACCCAACACATGTAAAATCTCACAACACATACTTATTGTACCTGTGTTATCTCTAACTTAAAACATTTTGCATCACAAAATCCCTCCAAATTAGAACTACGAAGTCTTTAGTTTTACACTAAGTATAACAACAAATAACATTTATTAAGTACTTGCTTTGTGCCACTCTACTGCTTTACATAAATTATCTCATTCTGTCACATCTAACTGCTTCTAAGCATATGCTTACATTCGCCAGTAGCACTTAAAATTAATTAAAATAAAGATATTGTTATCTTAGAAAGCAAGGTCTCAATATACTAAAGTAAACTCCATAGAATAAAATATTTTAAGGTCTTACAAAATGTACAGCACTAAATTATTATAGGTTACTATTCAATTTATGTTACTATCATGGAAAATACAGCATTTCTGGTACGTTGTACCCACTTATTTTTTCTCCAATTTTTATGCCTTTCTCAAACTCCTAGAAACCAGAGCTTCTAATATGTCAAATAAATACAATTAGATTCATACATTCAGTTTGATCCTTTGAGAAATATATAAAGTGATTTTGTTCTTGCATTAACTCCCAAATTGTTTTGCATAATAACCAGCCTGACATTAATTGTGGTATGAGGGCTGAAAAACAACATGAGATACGACTTTTACTAATCTTTCACATTCCATTTTCAAGCCATATGCTGTTCCTGATCAAAACTCTTATTTATTATCAAGAATTACATTATTCTCCGAATGAGTGAAATTTTCTCTTGGAGACAGGAAATGAAGGATCGCTAACACTGGGAATGTATTTTTCCTGTCTCAGTATTAATACATGATATATATTCATATTAATAACAACTCTGAAAACCAGTTACATTTCTTCTACACATAAGCAATAAACAGTATGTGCAAAATCTGAATCCTAGCAGTAGTGGTGTGGATATAGAATATTGGGTTTCCTTTGAATGTACAGCCATTTCTAATATTTCATTAGAGCAAGTGTACAGGCAACTGTCACAGATGTCCATCAAAGCTGGATTAGATGAAGACAAACAATGCAGGCTTTGAGGATAAACTGAAGCTGCAGCTCAAAAGTTTCCGTTTCTCATCGAAGGGCACTGTGGAATCATTGTCTTCCTCCTTGAGGCAAAGAGAATGAATCAATTATGTTACTGACATCCCTTCATAGCCAACTGAAAAGGTTTTCTTGCAGTCCAACAAGAGACAGTGAAAACCAAAGATTTCATAAGACAATGTGGAAATTTCAAAAATATCTTCACACGCAAGTTTGTAATCTCTGCGTTTTTTCCATAAACTCTGCCATCATTTTATTTCTGTGGCAGAAGCTACTAGGGCAAAATTTCACAGAACTGAGTGTTTTCAACTGAAGGCAATGCTTAAGCTGAACAAAAAATGTATGGAACATGTTTAAGGATAAAATTAAGCTTTAAATTATTGTCATTAATTTCATGTGTATTAATCACAGATGGTAACTGCTTGCACACAGACTTCTTCTTGCCCCCCCAAATAACTTTGCAGTCCTACTAAATACATGGATAAATAATAAATACAAAATAATACATGAAACAATGAGCTTTTTTGAGATAGTGCATTTCCCATTTAGGAAAACAAAATCTGCTAAGATTTTAGTTCAAGAACATCTACTCATGTTGCCAACGATGGGAGTGGCAAATCCAACTTTCATACAGTTGCTGCATGTGAACTCTCCAATCCTTTGGGCAATAAATACCTATTAAAATTCAGATGCATATATTCTCTGACCTGAAATTATATTCCTAGAAGCTTATCGTACAGATAGAACCATCCAATCATACAAAGATTTTATATGTAAGGATATTCACTGAAGCAATTAAATGACTTTTCCTGAATAAAGAGGGACATAACAGAGTACTTGAAAAATGGCCACATGTGGTGTGTGTGTGGATATATTTCACATACACATACATGTGTCTGCCCATGTATGCATGTGTGCATATAGGTACATGCAACTTCTGGAACAATTTATTAGAAAGTATTTGTAATGCTGGGGTATATTTTTCCAAACTACATTTCTTTTTTTTTAATATTTTTTTATTTTTATTTTTTTATGATAGAGAGAGAGAGAGAGAGAGAGAGAGAGAGAGAGGCAGAGACACAGGCAGAGGGAGAAGCAGGCTCCATGCACCAGGAGCCCAACGTGGGATTCGATCCCGGGTCTCCAGGATCACGCCCTGGGCCAAAGGCAGGCGCCAAACCGCTGCGCCACCCAGGGATCCCCCCAAACTACATTTCAAAGATAGTTGAGTCATAATCAAATCTTTACAATCTCAGAACTTTAATGGTAAAAATAGGACTTTGTGTGTATATTTGACAATTACAACCGAGCAAATTGTAACTCAAGGTGATTCACATGAAACTGATGACCAAAATTGTGAAGCCACAGCATTTTGAAGCTAAAATAAACCTAAAGGTCATGATGTAAGCATTTTCTGCAAAAGAAAAATAACCTGGAGTCCCCCATTTCCTAAATGTGTTCTGCATAACTAAAAATCAGTTGGAAAAAATGAAACTATGTTCAAAAATCTGTGGAAACCCTGGTCAAATACAGTAATATATGGTTCTTCCATACAAGACCATATCAGAGTCTTGAACATGCTTATGTGCACTGTAAATCTCCAAGAGGAGACTAATAAATCCATGAATCCCCAACTCTGTTGACAATCAGCTCTTGACTTAACAGACATCCTTAATGGCTATCTTATTGGCTCTGCAGAACACATTTGGAAAAGGCTAGTCTACAGGCACATATATTCCCAGTTTATGAAAGTAATGAAATTTCATTTTAAGGGTATATGAAATCATTCTAAAAATTTAACTACTGTGGTTCCAAACATCAATTAAACAAAAGATAGTTAATATGCAGTCTCCCTAATCATACAAATGCAAGTCTTAGCCCAATGCATTTTAACACTGTACATCCAAAATGCAACAGATGCACATGCTCATTGGCGTCTCATTCATTCTGAGGTTCTAAGGGTCTGATGTAAATAGTTCTCAACAGGTGCCAAGTGAGTTCTAATCTATCAGAGTGTGGACTCTCCTGGTGAATTTAGTACTCACTCTGCTAAAATCTCCCTTAAGAAGAAAGTAAAGATAATAATGCCCCATGCTTACTGGACTTTTTCTCCTCTATAAGGCACTGTGAGGATGATCTTTCTATTAGCTCCCCCCAAAAATGGATGTTTGACCTTGTTCACTGCAGAGACTGAGTTACTTGGGGAAATATTTCAATCAATCACAACCTGGAGTATGGATTTGGAATCAGGGAAATGGATGTTCAAATCCCAGCTGCCCACAAACTTTCTGTGAGATTTTAAGTAGCCTACTTGCCCCTTCTGAGCTTCAGATGATAGCTGAACCAGATACAATCTTCATAGGGTTCATATAGAGAATGTAGTGAGACAACAAATAAAACGTGACAGCAGTGAGTCCCAGGCACATAACTGAGTTACTAATGAGGATTTCAGCTGATTTATGGACATTTTACTAGCTGAAAATTGAACTACACCATGGCCTATTATTTTCCATAGCATGTGTTCAAAATTTACTTTTCAGAATTTCAGAGAAAGTTTTTATGGGATGAAATTATATTTGATCTCATTTGCACTCTGTTCCCAAAGTCCAAAGCAGTATCTGACCCATATCAAACATTGCAAAAAATGTGTGTGTGCGCACTTGCATGTAAATACATTAAAAAATATAACAAAAGGACAGTGGCAACTTTATTATATAATTTTATTTAATTTTTAAAATTCGTATCAAAATTACACATTCATATAAAAGGTTAAAGAGCTCTAAAAGGTTTCTTATGAAAACTAGCAGGCCCCTGTCTCTTATGCCACCGATTTCCTCTACTCTTTTAACTGGTCATTTTATTAACACCATAGAGCTAAATAATGTGATTCAATTTTTAGGATTGTTGACTTTCCCTATGGAGTATGAAGAGGAGTCCCTCCTTCCTTCTGTCAGACACCCTACACACATGCACACACCACCTACATGCATATAAACCCTTCCTTCACTCCAACCTTCCAATATGGTTATATAGAATTTTGGCTGGATCAGTTTCTATTATTTCTATTATTGTGATAATGTAAATATTATTCAGAGCTGAATTGTGTGTACTAATGTATCATTTTTTCTCTGTACTTTTTTTTCTCTGGAGTGAATAATTATCTTGGGTTTTTTCCACCATAGTTTTCTATGTATTCAATCCAAAACTACTTCCCAACCATCTGACACTCAAGACATTAAAGGCATATCATGCAGTCTATCAATTTCATCTTTCTGGAGGAAGTTCTAGAACCTTCTCATTGCTCACATCTGGACTCACAATCTCTATCTCTACAACTCTAACTCTCAGTCATTTCAGTCATCTCCTTTGCTGGATCTCAGTTTCTTGAATCCTCCACCTGTTCTCTCTACTTTGGTGAGGTATATTTTCTAGTACTCCCTAGGAAATAATTTTCAATGACCTTGATTTTAGAAATGACTACTTGAAGTTTGGGTAAAAAACTCTAGGTGAGGTATAATTTTCCCTCATAATTCATGTTTGACATTCAGCTTACAGTGTTGATGTTTATTTAAAAGTTCAAATTCCAGGTTCTTTGATTTTGATTTTTTTTTCCTCCCTGTAATTCCTCCCTCAGTGTCTAGAAATTTCACAGTGATACCGGCTGTATTTTGATTAACCGTGCTGGAAATTCAACAGGTCTTTTTAAACTGTAAATGTATGTCCATGAGCCCTGAGAAAATGTTTACATGATTTTGTTGCTGCTACCTCTCCTCCATTGTCTCTGTTCTCTATATTGAGTTTTCCTATTATTCAGATAATGGACCTCTGGACTGCTTCTCCAATTTTCTTAATTTTTTTTAATCTCTCTCTTTTTTTTTTTTGCTCTACTTTCTGACATTTCAGTTCTGCCTTCTGATCCTACCATAAAAGTTTTCATTTCTGCTATCATGTTTTTGATTTCCAAAAGCTTTTTAGAATATTCCTTTTCTTCATAACATCCAATTCTCATTTCATGGTTGCAGTTTCTTCCTTTACCTCTCTAAAGATATTAATGATCACTTTTTTGAATGTTTCTCTTTTCCTAAATATTTATTTCTTATATCTTGTCTTCTTCAGTTTGTTTTGGGCTCTTACATGTTATCCACTTTCTTCAAATGTCCTTAACTGACTGTACCTAAGAATGGGAATGACCACATCAGTAGTATCCTTGGGTAAATACCCAGTAGTGCAATTGCTTAGGAGGGCACTTGATGGGATTAGCACTGGGTGTTATACTATATGCTGGCAAATTGAATTTAAATTTAAAAAGTAATTTAAAAAAAAAGAATGGGAATGACCACTATTAAAGCAACAACAAACAAAACGAGAGTGGAGACTCTAAGCACAGAGCAGGCACTTATTCACCTGTCCTGCCTTCACCATAGAATGCACCAGCTGGGCCATTTCATTAAAGAAGTCCCTGGAGTTGCTCAGATTCTCCAGAAAGACCCTTCCATGCCCCTGTCTAAAGAGTAGAGGCCTTTCGGCCAGTGTCCTGAAGGCCAAGTGGGGGAGGAGAGAACATAAGATATAAGGATGTTATTTAATTACCTTATTTTTCAGTGAGGTATCTTGATACTCCATTGCACCTATGTCCCCTAATAGGGAGACTCTCTCCTCATCAGCTTTTAGCCACTACATATGATTTCAGCCTCCTCTCACTCCAACTTCTAGAGATTATCCATTGCCACCAATTCCTGAGACTTTGACTTTGTCACGTAAACAGGCTTATTCCTCACATCTGCTAAATCTGTTACCTCACAACCATCTGCTTCCAGCTTCCAAAATGTTTTTGCTACTGTCTCTTTTGTTTCTTCTCTCCTTGTAAGCCTGTGCACTTAAAAAAAAAAAAAAAACACTTTCCTGTTATTTTAATGCAATTTGTGATGGAAACAAAATTAATTGCCCATGTTCAATGGATTATCATTATTTGATACAAAAGTTCCTTTTTAAACATTTGTGGACTTTCTCAAGCTTCTACCATAAACTGCATTACTTGATAATCAGAATATAAACTTATTTAGAA